CAAGCTTCCTTTCCATTTCTGGTGTATGGTTATCGAACGACATAACCTTCGATCATAATTAAATTGGTTTGGAAAACTAGGTGACCTAGATTTATTTCCAGTACACATCAACCAGAACTAAATATAGAGCATGCCATATTTAAGTAAAGTGGGGTTTGGATTTTTTAAAATGTTAATTATGGCCGCACTAATTAATTAACGAGTGAATACACAGGATTTGTTAGTTAATTGAAGCTCGAGTATCAGTTGGACCCTTACGGCACCAGTTCTCCCAGTAGCTTTGCAGTCCAACTCATCTTAAATCAACTACCCTTTTCTGTAAAGCGCTCGAGGAAGGCGAACACAGAAATCGAACATCTGTAATGCTTTCCATAGTCGAAGAGCTCCCTCATACTATTGTTCTGTCCGGACATCTTGATGGTTAGATTCCTCCAAAGTAACAATCATAAGTACTCAGGAACGCATGCAAAAGCATTTTTCAGGGAATACCAATGACATTAGCAAGTAATGTTAAAGAAAATATTTGTTAACAAACTTCAAATCAAAGCCAAATTACCTGACATTAAACGTGAGGTTAATGTTGGTGGATACTCAGTCTACTAACTTCACTGGAGTAATTTCTCGTACTAGTTACATTCCCTCCTCTCTTGAGCGAGGCTTAGTTAGTGTCAAGTTAAGGATAATTGAAACTTCTTCCAAGAATTAGATTCGAGGCGGTTCATTGTGAACATAGAACAGCACAGCAGGCCCACTTTCATCTCTTCATAAAACCTTACAACCGGAAATCTTCACCTTGATTTTCGGCATGAATTTAAACATGCAGCAAGTTTCCAAATACGCCAATATTTGATGTGAATTTTACATGTTAAATCAAAAGCATGCATCGTCAGCATAATCGTATTAGGTAAGAGGTGCTCGGTGATGGGGAGGGAGCTTCGGCACCAGTATGCTGTATTCGGGTTTTCAGAAGGCAGCTGCTAAGGTCCCACACAAATTGACAAACTAATTTGGAGCATAAGGCACAGGGGTGGATAACTTAGAGGACTTCTGGCCCCAGTGGACACTACCACTGCACAAAAGCCCCAACAACGGATAGTTGTTACAACAGTCACATTAGGTCAACTTTTAACTTCATTTTTGAATGGACTTAATTTTATAATCTGCCATGATGGGATTCAGACCCATGCCTCCAGACCATTAAGCAGGGCTTCTGAATGTCCAGTAACATGACCGCTATGCCATCACCTTGCACATACACAATTAAAAATACAACTTAATTGTGATATACTAGTATTAATTGAAGATTAGTTTATGGAAAGAAAACTGAAGAAATAAATGTGTCTTTCTCAGGTTTGCAGGCTGCCGTTAGTTGGAAACTGCAAGTAGTGGTGTTTGGGCTCAGCTGTTTACAACTTGTATCAATATTGATGGGGACATTTGTGAAGTGGTAGTGTTTCTATCCCTGGGACAGGAGGGCTTCGTTCAAGTCCCACCTGCTCCAGAGATGTGTAATTTAATCTCTGAACAAGTTGATATTCCTACATTTGGCAAGGACATTACAATAGGTGGAAACGTGTGGTGTGAGGAGGCTACAAAGACACTTCAAGGAGATTTGGAGAGACTGAGTGAATAGGAAAAAAAAGACATAAATGAAATATATAGTGAATAACTAAATGCAGGGTATTTCTTAAATGGAGAGACTGGCAAGTATCCTTACTCGTAATTAACAAAACTAACATGTCGGTGCAACAAACAATTAGGAAGGCAAATGATAGTTTGACTTTTGAAGAATTTTGGTGGAGGAAAGATCTCTTTCATCGATTGTATGGGACCCTTGGTGAGACTGCACCTGGGATTATACTGCAGTTTTGGTTTCTATGCCTAATCACAGGAGTGCAATGAAGGTTTACCACACTAACCCGTGGGAATGTGCTACAGTCCGATGAAGTGACGAGGCCTGTATTCTGTAGAGTTAAGAATGACAGTGATCTCATTTAAACTTCTTAAAGGCTAAATAGGGTAGGGTTTCCCTGGCTATGGAACATGGGAACAGTCTTACGATAAGGGGCAAGCTACTTAAGACTGGGATATGATGGGATTTCCTCACATGAAGGGCAGTGAATCTATGGAGATTATGGAAATTCTGTAATCAAGTATGTTCAAGACCGAGATCAATAGTTTGAGATACAATTGACATCAATGGATTTATGGGAGTTTTATAGAAAAATGACATTGAGGTAGATGATCAGTCATGATCTAGAATGGCAGAACAGGTTCGTGGAACGGAATGGCCAACTGCTTCTTGTTTCTATGCAAGAGCAGGGAAGTGGTGCCTGATATCCTGGTCAGTTTTTATCCCTGGTCAGTTTATATATAACAGATTATCTAGGGATTACCACATTCCAGATTGCAACCAGTTTATATTGTTGCACAACGTTCCTTAAATAAGTGACTGCATTTCATTTCCTAAAAAAAAAACTTTCATTGGGGATAAAACGCTTTGTTTGTGAAATGTGCTATATAAATGCAAGTCCCTCCCTACCTAAAATGCCATTCTGTAATTATTACAACCAAGGAACTGCATCTACAGATGTTGTCATTGGTGAAAGTTCAATTTATACCACAAGATGATTTTACTAATTAACAGAAAAACCATGACAACCAAAAAAATCAATTAAAAGTTTGTTAGACTTACCTTATGATGTTGTATCCACAATGTTTAAATGGCATTTTAAAAATTGGGGGAAGAGATAATTATGCAGTCACTACACTTGTGCACTGATTTGGGTCATCAACAAAAGAGGTATGCGGTCCTGTTTGAGGAACACAATGAAAGCAAAAGTAGATGTATCATGATAATTTGCTGCTGTAAATAATACAACCTTTCACCTTAAAAAAAACACAACTTTCTTCCCTATCAACATCCTTTGAGCTATTTCTCAAAGTTCTTTCAACTTTGGAAACCGCATTAATCATTATAAAAATGTCACCATAACATGCTTCTACTTCATTGAAATCAAGAATTTAGTAAGAAAGCAATTAAAGGATATTGTCAATTTTTCAGAACAAAAGCAATTTAAAGTAAATGTAAGTAAATAAGATGCAAGTAAAAGACCTCATGAAATCTGATGAGGACCGTATGAAAGATCATTTAGATCTAGCGGGATCTCTATTGTTAATCAATTGTGGCAAAATGGAGAATTCTACTTTCCTTGGATAATAGGGTGATTGAACACAATCCTTTCCATTAATCTATGTATTAATTTTTAAAAATCTCTCCAAAGAGTCAACAAGTGTTATTGAAAGTCTGATTTCAGGTTACTAAATTTAGTAATCAATTATGCATAGCAATCTTGAACTGGAGCAATTACACATACACAAAGCAATTTAATCACTAAAATTCTCTCTTCCTCAGCTATAAGAACAAAATTCAGTTGGTATTAGCCCTTGATGCATGGGAGATTTAAAGAAAAAAATTGCAATCATTTACAATTATTGAAGTGACAGAAAGATCAAATGAAGCTGTAATATCTAACCTCTTAAATGCTCAATCTGACTTGTGAATGATATCAAATTTCAAGTTAAAGTCTAATGTAAGTCCTTGAAGTGATTTATTAAATCAGCAATTTAGATGTTTATCATACTACGCCCCATCAAGAGTAAAATCATGACCAATGTAGTTTCTTAAAAACATTCTCAAACTCTTAATCCATTGCTTCTAAATAGTGCAACTAGGAGTGCAAAGTAAGAGATCTCTTCATTTTTCAGTAAACCTTCTAACCCATTTTACATTTACATGAAAATGTTACCACAGAAATAGGACATTTCACTACTTGATAAACTTTGAACTTTGAGTGCTCCAAGATTTGCTGGATTTCTTTTCATGTTACAGGAACAGAAAGAAATAGACTGGATGTAAGAAACCAAACTAGGAGCATACGCTGAAGTACACCTTTTATATACAGGAAAACTGGAAAAACCGAAGGGAGAAAAGTGTAAAATTTACAGAAAGAAACCACAATTTGGACCAATGGAATTTATATGTTCCAATTCTTTGCTTGTAATAATAACACAAGTCTTGTGTGATAAGTTTGTTTTTAGAAGGGTGAAAATTTGATTAGGATATTCTTTAATAACTTCATATTTAAATCCTGAATATTTATGGATTATCCCAAAACACCACACAAGTATGACTTACTGCAAGCTCAAGATACAGTTTTACACGGGTTTCTGCAAAGTGGAAACAGAACACTCCAAAGTAATAATCTGCCTCAAAAGCCATGGATAAGAAGGTTTACATCAGTGTGTAACACACAAGAGCTTACACAGATCAATACTACTGTAGGGTACAAACAAAAAGCTAAGGTAGTTCACAAGTTCTGAAAAGACATTGGACAACAATTTTAAAATATGCAATAAGGTATCTAGATTCCCTTTAAGAAAAATGACAACAGTCTACCTTAAGTGATACTGAGCTACTGTACGTTGATAGGATTCTCTAATGCATAAGTCATGCTTTTTGTGGTTGAGACTCAGTAGGTGTCAGTTCTGGCTCTTTAGCAGGTGAGCACTAAAGGATTATATTTAGCAATTAAGTAAGGGTATATTTAATAAGTAAATGTTCTCCCACCTAAAGATTTAAAGCCCTTGATGTAGCGTTCTATGTCTCAAAGGGTTTCTCAAATCCCAAAGTATTAGGTGCTATGCTGGAGCTAAAACAGGGCTGTACTGTATAAAACGATCATTCAAGTATATTGATCAGCTGCACTTCTGATTTTAAAGATTCTCATGGCTCTCCATTTTTGAATTTAAATGAAGCACAAGACAGATTCAAAATTGAAACACTTACCTTTTGTAGTACAAGCTTGTGAGCAAAATGTTTAAGATACCACTCTTCAAGTGGACGTTTCAACAAATAATTCAAAATTCTATCATTGTATCCAATGCCATAAATTAGAAAGACATTGCGTAGCAATTTCAAATTAAAGGCAACACTGCAGTTAGGACAGCTTTTCTACTTTATTACAAAGAGAAGAAGCTTTAATGTGGTCAGAAAATACAAGATTGATTTTTTTTTAATTCTTTTTTTTCCTATGAAATGCTGCTGTTCAACCAGCCATTGTGAATTGTCTCAGTTCACTTCCTGAAGTCCCATCATGTTCAATTGGGTATGGATGTCCTTGGCTGCTGAAAATCTGGCCCTTAAGTGCACAGGGCGACACAGCGGTCCCCTGCTCAGCAGTTCCCGAAATGTCCTGTTTTCATGTATTGCATCCATGCACACCTCCGAAAAATGAGGTACAGCAGGGCAAATATTTTCCAAAATAGATGTCATATATATAATATATACACATTCGTACATACATATCTTTATTCATGTGATGTCCAAAAATTAAAAAAATGTACACTTTTATTACAAAATTGTAACAAAGACTGGACAGTGTTTTGCTCATTCTGGAAAGATGAAGCCCAGTGATACACAACCGTGGAAAATGTCCAGAGGTCGTGGCAATAACGTTCACTTAAACAGTCAAATGTTCTTGCATTTAACTTGGCGGAAATGCCATTCAAAAACATTAGGGGTAGTAAAATGAACAAATCAAATGCAGGCTGCTTATCTTTCCAAATGAAATACAAGGAGGATCTTCACATAAAAATGCACTAAACATTTTTTTTATTATTACCAGTAATGCTACAACGAACAATGCAAACTTTTTAAATTTTTACACTTTGGAAATTTAGCAATGAAAATGTTGTCGGTCCACTTGTCCTTTAGCAGAACAAAATCTGCCTCTAGGCTGAAATTATTTTGTGTGTCGTTTTCAAACATACCCTGCTCAAAATAATAAAAAAAAAACAAAAAAATACAAATTCAGTTGTGTTGGGCAGCACATAATTACTAAGGCAGGACTTCAAAATGTCGATCCATCCACATGAGCCAATTGCCAGATCCTCAAAGAATAAAAACCAGGATGCCTGAGCCACTTCGGTTTCCGCAGTTTGAGTATTGTGCTGAGACAGCCATACCCCATGAACAGTTAAGTCTTTAGAAGGCTTGCTGAGCAGGGTTGTAGTTCAAAGATGACGGCAGATGAGGTCTCTCCTCTAGTTTATCATACTCCAGGTGGAACTCCTGAAATCCCAAAAAGAAACAGTCAGCCATGTGGCAGCAAATGTCCATTGAAAAGGAAAACAAGACGCAGCTTACATGCTTAGATGTCAACATCAGTAAATGCAAGTTGTGTTTTGTGTACTTATATAAAAAATGCCATTGATGAAATCCACAGAATCCCTACAGTGTGGAAACAGGCCATTCGGCTCAAAAAGTCCACACCGCCCCTCCGAAGAGCATCCCACCCAGGCCCGTTCCTCTGCCCTATCCCTGTATCCCATGGCTAACACATCTAACCTATACATCCCTGAACACTACAAAGTAATTTAGCATAGCCAATTCACCTAATTTGCACATTTATGGAGCATGGGAGGAAACAGGAGCACCCGAAGGAAACCCGTGTAGACACAAGGAGAATGTGCAAACTCCACACAGTCACCGGAGGTTGAAATTGAACCCAGGTGCCTGGTGCTGTGAGGCAGCAGTGCTAACCAATGAGCCACCCCAGAAAACTGTAAGGTGGAAGTAGTAGGTATAGAAAACTGCAGATATAAAAAGGCAAAGATTATATCACAAGTGACTACAATTCTGAAATGCTTCATTCGTGCTATTTAGGGTGGCTCAATATCAGAAGCGTCCATATACAAGAACAAAGATTTAGAAATTGTTTTGTGGAAATATGCTGCTCGTATAATTAGGCAACGATCTGGGCTGAAGGTGATTTAAGCACAAAGGATGAGAGACAACGAAGGACAGAATACATGTGATGGTGTTTCAATTGTGGACAAATTTTGGATGGTACAAATGGGAGGCTTGTAGCATTGATAAAAATAGTCAAGTCTGCTGCTCACAAGGCATGCACAAAGGTTTCAGCAATGTGGTAGGTGAGGTATGGGCAGAGGTGAGCAATTTTATTCATAGAACTTGATAACTAGGTTGTTGAGTGAAACAAGATCGTTTAATAACTTGTTAGGCTAATTTGTTTGGATTATGTAACAGCATGGTTATGCAGGGAGATGGAATAATAAGGGAACAGAGTTCTGGTGGGGAACTGAAGCTGGAGAAAGTCGCTGTAGGATAAACAGTCTGACAGTACAAAAGTAACAAATGGGTTGAGTAAAATGCAGCAGAACTGGAGATCATCAGCATATATTGTGTCAGATTTAGCCTAATGAAAGTACCTCAATGATATCTGCTAAAGACACCAAGCTAGCTTCACTGCAGTAATGAAGTAGCGCTGTCTTTGCAATGCAATGTTTACCCATTATCTTATCTCCTGGATGAGAGATCTTTTGGGAACTTTATTCATCAACCAAAGATGATCAAAAATGGATTATCAAGCTATTTACCGCTATTTGTAGAACGTCAAGCGACTACATCCGCTCCATTTGAAAAGCACTCTTTTGGCTATAAAGTACTTGCAATATTGAAGTAGTGAAAGGCACTATATAAATGAGTTGTGAAAAACTATATCATGAGGTCTCCTGTTGAGGTCTCAGATGTGCATCAAATAGACAGAAGAGAAGCAACGAACAGATTTTCGAGGGAATCCTGAATATGATGGGCCGGGGGCCGGGAAATAAAGTAACAAATTACAACATTTCCACTAGCTTAAGGAAACAGCTTGCATTTTACAGCCCTTTATTAAACATCTCTACATACATTAAATCTCTGAATTATTGGCATTCACAGCATACTGTATGCAACAATATAGCCCTATTAGAAGCTTTTGTTAAAATTAGTCCTCTCTTCTGTCCTACTCACTGCAACAACAATAAGCAGATTATACATTATAAGTACACATTATTCTTTGAATTAAAATGAGCATTTCAGTAATTCTGAAAAAAGACATTCTGTCAAAGCTTTTCATCAGAACAATTCGCTTGATATTAATTCAAGGGGAAAACCAACATTTACATTGCATGAGAGTCTCTTTACATCTCTCATGCAGTATAATGTTGGTTTCCCCTTGAATTGGCATCCTTACAAATTGTCCTGATGAGTACATGATGAAAAGCTTTAATAAAATGTCCTTTCACAGAAAATTGCAATTCTGAGTCTCCCTGCTCCAGGAAAGATGTTGTTCAACTTGAAAGAGCGCAGAAAAGATTTACAAGGATATTGCTGGGATTGGAAGGTTTGATCTATCGGGACAGGCTGAATAGGCTGTGGGGCTTTTTTCCTTGGAGCATCAGAGGCTGAGATGTGGCCTTTATAGAGGTTTATAAAATTATGAGGGGCATGGATAGGGTAGGTAGCCAAGGTCTTTTTCCCAGGGTAGGAAAGTCCAAAACAAGAGGGCATAGGTTTAACGTGTGAGGGGAAATATTTTAAAAAAGGACCTAAGGGGCATGGATGGAACAACCTGCCAGAGAAAGAGGAGGTGGGTACAATTACAACATTTAAAAGACATCCAGATGAGTAAATGAAATAGGATGGGCTTAGGGGGATATGGGCCAAATGCTGGCAAACGGGGCTATCTCAGTTTAGAATATCTGGTCAGCATGGAGAGTTGGACCGAAAGGTCAGTTTCTATGCTGTATAACTCGGACTTGATGACTGTATTACAAAATGACTTTTTGTTAGCATTTGCATTTTAAAGACAATTGATTGTACTGTAATAAATTATATTTGAAAGAAAAATTACATATAGTCGCCAAAATATGACTTCAATGCTATTTTGGAGAGTTCATTCAATACAGGAAAGGATTTTTTTAATGTAGTGAAACCTCAATGGAACAGATGGTGCTAATCATTAACAGTGATGGACTGATATCACCACTTGGTGCTTGAATAAAGCAGTCGGACTAGTTTGAAGAATGGTTTGTATTATCACTTTGACTTAGTCACAGATTCACAAAATTACTACTACACAATGCTTTTAGTAATATCTTATCTAAAGCTACTTCATGGGAATCTGGAACTTCTTTGATCAGAAATTCACCTAAAAAGGAAAGACCTATAATTTTAGTAAATGTTGTTTGGTTGACTGCACTTGTCTTCATTGATAAAGATTTAGTGCCTGAAGTTTACTGCAACTGCCAACTCTGATGTATACTACTTGATGTGTAGAGAAAGGTCTCCTAGATCGAAGGCCACAGATCTAATTCAGACAATTGTCAAATTTTTGAAAAAAAAAAGCCATTGCTCTCAGAATTTTATTTTCCTTAAAATAGATTATAAAATCTCCTTTAGTTTAATACGCAAAGTATTTAATTTATTTTCAATGATTTAAGTAAAAAATTTCAAATTATCCCTTTACAGCAAATATATACACAACTTTATGGCACTTTATGGAAATGTGAATGAAAGGTGCCAAGTTATATGCGAAACTTGTACTGCTGTTTGATCAGTGAAACAAAAGCTTTGTGTGATACTCCAATACATTCTGAAGACTTGCTCAGCAGGTGCCAATTACCACATAGCAGGATAATGAAAAGTTAACATTTTCGCTCGGAGATCAGTTAGTTGACCACTGGGGAGTTGCAAAATGCTGTTTTACATCTGAAGCAGCGCAAAACTACATATCCTCTGAAAAAAAGCTGATTTGCTCCCAGTGTTTTTCTGGGTAACAGCAATTGTATTGCACTTCCTGAACTGGGCAGATGCTGAATGTGTGGTATAAGTGAGGATACTTCTCTTCATCATTACCAACATGCCAGCTTTCTTCTTTTGAACTAGATGGAATTTGCAGCACACTAGTTCAACTTCCATTGGTCAGCCACTGAAACTGGGGACTAATGTGAAAACAGTACACTTACAGGGACTGACAGCTATTTCTGCTTTGATTATATTGGGCACCTGGATTTTAAGTAATGTTTTGGGGATCTGATCCTGTGATTCAATCCGTTTTCTGCTTTAAATGCAAAATCAAAACTATGCCTCTGGCCAAGAGTCATTTGAGTAATGTTTTTAGACAGCACAATTGGTTTTGTAAAATAATCTGCATCTGACATGAAGTGCAAAATTCACTGCATGACATTCGAGAGGTTTGAAATGTGCCGTCACAATCAGCATAAGTAAATATTTTCCATTTACTTATGAGTACTGCTGAATTTCTTTTAGTTTTCAATATTTAGGTAAATGATTGCTTTTTAACTCTTTTCTTTGTGCTGTCTTGGAGTTGTTTTTGAACCTGGAGCTTCTGGTACTGATGACTGGCCACCTTGTAATTATTGGCGACTCCCCACAATAAGCTAACACAGTCAGATAAAATTACATAGTTTAGGCTCCAAGTGCTTTCTTTTCAACAAATCAGGATAAAATAAGATTATGCAACCAGCCAGTGTCAAAAAACTAATAACTCCAAATTGTCTCCTTTCTATAGGCAGAAGGACTTAATTACATCTAGGCTAAATCTGAAACAGGAAGATGGAGGAATCACATAAGAAAATGATGGAAACGTTATTAAAAAGTTTGGAAGAAAAAGCAAAAATGCAATCTAAGTAAATAGTACCAACTTAAAAACATAAATTGTTGGAGAACCTCAGCATGTCTGGCAGCATCTGTGGAGAGAAAGTAGGGTTAACCCTAACTCTGCTTTCTCTCCATAGATGCTGCCAGACCTGCTGAGGCTCTCCAACATTTTGTTTTTGTTTTAGATTTCCAGCATCTGCAGTTCTTTGTTTAGTACAAACTTTAATATTATTGAAAAAGACACATTGTGTCAAAGATATCCATCTAGCACTCAGCAGGATATTCATAAGAATACTGGATGTAAAGGGGAATAATATTTTATACTGTATGAGAAGAGTTGGCACTTGAACTCTGATCAGTAGAGACACTGCTATGTAGAACCCATCAGTTAAATAGGAGCAAGAGTAAGCTATTCAATATGATCATGGTTGATCATCCAACTCAGTATTCTGATCTTCTTCCTCCCTATACTCTTTGACTGATAGTCAACTGTCAAGCTTTGTTTAAGTTTGAACCAGGCAAGTTGGCTGTGGTCAAAATCTAACTGGTGTATTCTATATGGTAGGCTCAGTCCACTTGCCAAGCAATCTGCACTCTTCTCACATAGCATATAATATTGTTCCCCTTCAAATCTGTATTCTTGCAAATGTGATGAATGCATGACCCAAAGCTTCAATGAAATGTCCCTTTCAGCAATATTCAAATTCTGTATTACCAAATGACTGATTCATTATATAAACTGCGCACAAGGTGCAGATAAAATGGGTGGGATGGAATGTGAAAACAGACCATGTTCCATTAAACAGGTCTTGTTTAAGTTGTTATTTTTGCATCTTGTAGTTAACGATCAGTAGATTCATTATCATAGAATAGATATATCATAGAATCCCTAGAGTGTGGAAGCAGGCCATTTGGCCCAATGGGGTCCGCACCAACCCTCTGAAGAGCTTCCCACCCAGACCCACCCCTCAACCTATCCCTGTAACCCTGCATTTCCCATGGCTATCCAGCTAGTTTACACATTCCTGGACACCATGGGGAATTCAGCATGGCCAATTCACTTAACCGCCACATCTTTGGACTGTGGGAGGAAACAGGAGCACCTGGAGAAAACCCACACAGACACAGGGAGAATGTACAAACTCCACACAGTTGTCCTGGAATTGAACCTGGGTCCCTGCTGCTGTGAAGCAACAGGGCTAACCACTGAGCCACTATGCTGCTCTTTGTCACTACAATTTAGCAAGGCACATCACAGAATAAAAGCAGGCTAAAGTAATAAAATCAATTGACTTGAAGTCAGTTACTGCATAGCCACAGTAAGCCAATCACTTCCTTCTATACTGCACATTTGGGTCTACAGTGCATGAGGTGAAATCTTCAAAAAATTGATAGCCTTGAGAGCACAAAACTTGCCACAGCATTCAAGTCTCAAGGGTTAAAACAACAGCACACAAATCTAGGCTATTTCAGCTATCTTTATTATCGAGAATCACAGGTCAAATTTGCTGGGCAAAAAGTACACAATGTTGTATACAAAAACACATTGGTTGTTTCCAGCAAACAGATGATTCTTAGTCTCTCCAGGAAACATTATCAAGTTAGTAATTTATCTGGCTCCTTTACAATAGAAGACAAACAATTTCAGCGTTATATAAAATCAATTACACATCAGCTCTTACTTTAGCAACCTTTCTCCAGTTAAGACAGTCAAAGAAATAGTATGTCCCCCTTTCATAGGTGTTGGTTTTTACTGTTGGCTCCATTCCTGGGGCCCTGGTGATCCAGACTCGCTCTTCTTTGTGGTACCTCCAGTCTCGGTTAAATCTACCAATTATGACAAGAAAAATATCTCTTGAGAAAAGACACAGGTTTTAATTAAGTTAAACATGTCCAAGAAACAAACTAGTGCATGGCAATTTATTTTCAAAACAATTGTAAATAAGAATCAATAGATTTTAATGTCAGTTATGCCACAGAAAATTTTCATTCAGATAGTGATATATTTAAAAAGACATACAACTCTACTGCTGCAAGTAACTGTAAGACATCTCCTCCATTCATGTAGTATAGATAGAAAAGGAGGTCCTCTCCATAGCGGGCAAGTTTTATTGCAGCAAGCTGTAAAATAAATCATTGTTCATTTTATCTTACATTTCAAATATGATGCTTAAAAACCTTAACTTTTACGATTTCATATATCTTCATGTATATTTCATATATACATAAGTGGGCCAGAGTATCAACAAGCTCCTCATTGTCACAAAAATATACAAATTATGTAATTTAGTATTCACACGTATTATGTTGTAATTGTTAATCTTTCAAGATAGATTTCATCACATAATCGGCACAAAGTTCCAGCAGCTGCCAGCAAATACAACCCAACTAAAAAGGAAGTATAGCTGTCAACTCAAGAGTATATAATCATACGATATGTTATTGGTGTACAGTCTGTTTAGAAAGACAAGAAAATCTGGCATTTGTATAACGTTTTCCATAGCCATAGAACATCTATGCCTTAGAGACAATGAAATATGTTTGAACTGTAATCATTTGTAAATATCGGTCAATTTACAACAAGCTTCCGCAAACAGTAATGTGCTATTAACCAGATCATCTATTTTTATGATGTTATCAGAGGGATAAATTTTCACCACAACACTAGGGATAGTTCCCTGTTCTTTATTGAAATTATGTCATGTGATTTCTTGTATCCACCCAAGCAGGCAGGTATGGCCTTGGTTCAACATGGTGTCCGAAGAAAAAATAAGATGACTTTGTGTTTTCATTTTCCACTTCCTCTCTCCTTTTTTTGATAGCATTGCATATTTTTAAATGGCAATGCCCATTCTCCTTCACTAACCCCATCAGCTTCTGTACCAGCTCCACTCTTTGGCCAAGCTCAAGCAATTAGTTAATCGTCCTAATAGATCCTTCTTTGAGATGGTGTCATTTTATGTGTGATTCTGCTTCTGTGAAATGCATCTATACCTTTCCTATGCTAACAGTATTATACGAACAGAAGTTATTGGAGTTTGAGAAGATTTGTAGCTTGGGTTGTGAATGAGGTTGTAGACATGCTCGCCAAGCCCAGGGGTTTGGTTGCAAATGTTTTGTCACCCTACTAGGTGATATCGTCAGTGTGCCTCTGGTGAAGCATTGGTGTTCTGTCCCACTTGTTATTTATATGCCTCAGTTTGTTGGGGTGTTTGATACCACTTCCAGTTCTGGTTTCTCAGTGATTTGTACACAGGGTCTAACTCAATGTGTCTGTTGATAGAGTTCTGGTTAGAATACCAGGCCTCCAGGAATTCCCTGGCGTGTCTCTGTTTGGCTTGTGCAATTATGGACGTGTTGTCCCATCTTTGTGTCCCTCTTTGTCAGTGTGAAATGGGAAGTTATTGGAACTGATCTACGTAAGCTACTTGTATTATAGTTACACTATTCCATCAATATTGGCATTATATAGTGCTTCAGTTTTGTATCTCCTAGTGTGTCCACCCATATTGCAGAGAAATTGCTACAGTCCAAACAACTACAGTTTTGTTTTCCAAACTGCTGCAAATTTTTTTTATTTTACTGAATACTTATTATTTACTTAAGTTCATTTAGCTTAAAACATGGGTTGAATTAGATCTACATGCTCAGATTTTAACATCAACAGAAGACTTGTTTTGACTCCCTTCATGAAACACCATGGGACTTGGACTAGATATAAAATAAGATCTGTCAAACTGATTTCAAAGCAGTGATCTTCTCTTGCTTTAGATTTATACAAACCAATAACAGCAAAAGTTCCAAGTGTGAGAGAAAGAGTAATAGGGAAATTTGTAACAACCTTTCAATAAATTATGAAACAGTTAATGTGAAGAATCACACCTAGTTCAGAAAGTAGTCTGACTACACAGGATCTTTCGTAACTAGTGCCAGGAGACCTAGGCCAAAGTCAAAAATAATGTCTAGACAGTGTAACCTATACAAGATAAGCAAGAACAGGAGGAGTCAAAAAATTTGCTGGAAAAGCTCAACATATCTGGCAGCATCCATGAAGTGAAATCAGAGTTAATGCTTCTGGTCCAGTGACCCTTCCTCAGAACGCCTCAGTTCTGAGGAAGGGTCATGGACCCGAAATGTTAACTTTGATTTCACTTCTCAGATGCTGCCAGACCTGCTAAGCTTTTCCAGCAAATTCTGTTTTTGTTTCTGATTTACAGCATATGCAGTTCTTTTTAATAAAAAAAATTGATTCCTATCTAGTTTAATTCAGATTTCTTAATACTGGGAATACAAGAGGAATTATAAGCTACAGACAAGTCAGATTTTGGGCTCAAAACTAAATTCCAAGTTATTGGCATGCCTATTTAAGGTGATGACACAATAGGTGAATCTGGTCCTAAAATGTATCACTCAGGTTTGTCAGCTGAATAGAAGGAATAAAGTGATAAAGTTGTGGAGCTATAGAATATAGCAATATATAGCAGTCCTTGTTGCCCCAGGATGTCCTAAAGTAATCTGAGACACTGAATTATAATCACCAATGTATTGTTGGCAAACAGGAAAGTTTTCAAATAGCAACAAGATAAATTACTATTCTGTGCTTTTGTCAGTGCTAGCTACTGATCAGGTTCCAGAAGAACTACCTTGCTGTCATCAAATTGTGCATGAAATCATTTCACATTAGTGAGAAAGAAGTTAATAAGCACCTTGCAACAAAGTGAAGTTAGATGAGCTGAGGAGATGAGTATTTAAAGAGATTATGTTAGAACAGCGGTGAATATAGGATGATCCTGAAGTAGTAAGAAACTGGGAAGAGTGAATATGGACTAATAGTGCTTGCTGTGGTCCAGCCAGTTATTCAAGACTGTGTCCTATGTTTGCCTGGATGTGGCCCCTATCTATTTGTTCGAGGTCAAGGACAAGGTAAATCAAGTGTCAAGCAGAAAGCCAGGCTGCAGAAGTATTGTGGCAGATGGAGGACCAAAGGCTAGGCAGTTGGGTGTTCACGTATTCCGGGTAGATGATTGAGTGGGGTGGAGAAAATAGGAAAAGAATTTGAGAAAATTCAGTTGGTACAGAAAGGAATAACTGCTTAAACAAGGGTTCCAAAGTGTTAGAAGTGAGACTTGGGTTTGAGAAATCCATTCAGAGACAAGCAACATGTCACAACAGCAATAAGTCCAAATGGAATCACAGGTGTGTAAAGCTGAATCTACCAGATGATAGACAACCCAAAAGGACACAGATTCAACATTTATGGATAGAATTTCATTACACTGGTATCCACTAAAGTGAATGCAAGTAGTCAGAGGAAAGCAAAACTGCCAACTTTAAGTTGACTGAAAAAAAGTAGTCAGGCAAACAAACTGTGAACTAGTATATATCTGTTAGACTTAGGCAGAGCTGGCAGAGTTATTTGATCTTTCAATCTGTCAGCTAATCAAGAAATCTCAACCATAGAAACTTCAGGCCAATCTTGGATGTTAAGTATAAGGTGATTTTGTGCTAAGTATGGCCCATCTGATATGGAGCGGACATGACATTTTAAAGCTTTGTACCAACAGGGTAATACAGTCTGTTAATTAAACAGCGCATTCTTCAATGTTTATGCTTTACACATTGATAATTTAAGTGTATTAATAAAAATATTTTAACAACTTTTCTGTTTCATGTTTCCTTTGGCGGCAAGGCTCAATTTGTAAATGTTAATAGGCGGAACATGCACAACTGAATCTTAAATACTGTAAAGTTAAGCTACTCCATTATAAATCAGTACAATAATTCTCAGCACCATTTCTGACAACATAACTAGGTACTCAAGAAAAGTAAACAAAAGGAAAAAAATCTTGAATTCAACAGAACTTTTCTTTTTACAAAAAATTCATTACAGAGCATGTTCGGGGTTAAAATGATTGAACATGACTGTTTCAAATGCTAGAACAAAATTTCACAACATGGGAACGTGTTTCTTCCTTGCAGAATAATCAGCACATGTCAATTTTAAATTTTACATTCCACAACAGAATCTTCAATTACTAGTTTCACATCAGAAGTGTAACAGACTTCTCATCTCTCACCTGCATAGTTGCAGCCACAAGAAACGTTAAAATCTTGACCAATTACTCTGTTTAAAGTTTTTGAGAAGATTTGCAGCTCGGGTTGTGGATGAGGTTGTAGACATACCTGCCGAGCCGGTGGGCTTGGTTGCAAACGTTTTGTCACCCTACTAGGTAACATCGTCAGTGTGCCTCCAATGAAGCGTCGGTGTTCTGTCCCACTTGTTATTTATACGCCTCAGTTTGTTGGGGTGATTGGCATTGCTTCTGGTTTTGTTTCTCTGTGGTTTGTACACAGGGTCTAATTCAATGTGTTTGTTGATGGAGTTCCAGTTGCAATGCCAGGCCTCCAGGAACTCCTTGGCGTGTCTGTTTGGCTTGTGCAATTATGGATGTGTTGTCCCAGTCGAATTTGTGTCCCTCGTTGTCAGTGAGACAAGTAAGAATTGGTCAAGTCTCTTGGTACTCATGTATCCGTATAGTCAATTTTCTTCCAGTTTGGCCTATGTAGTGGTTCTCACAGTCCTTGCATGGTATTTTGCATATTACCCCAGTTTTGCCGGTTTTGGGTATGGGATTCTTTACGTTCGTCAGTAGCTGTCGTAAGGTGGTTATCGGTTTGTGGGTTACTCTGATACCTATGGGTCTGAGTAGTCTTGTGGTTATCTCTGAAATGTTCTTGATGTATGATAGGCTGGTAAATGATTCTGATCATGTTGTGTCTTCCTGTTGTGGTTTGTCTTGGAGGTAATGGTGGATTGTGCTTTTTGGATATCCATTCCTCTTAAAGACTCCATACAAGTATAATCCGCCATTACCTCCGAGACAGACCATAAAGGGAAGACACAAAACAACCAGAATCATTTATCACACTATCATACATCAAGGACATTTCAGAGATGACCACAAGACCACTCAGACCTCTAGGTATCAGAGTAGCCCACAGACAGACAACCATCCTACGACAGCTAATGACGAACGAAAAGGATCCGTTATCCAAAACACCATGCAAAGACTGTGAGAAAGACTACATAGGCCAAACTGGAAGAAAACTGACTAAACGGATACATGAACACCAACTAGCCCCCAGGACACATGACTAATTCTCACTTTTTTATAGAATCCCTACATAGTGTGGAAACAGACCCTTCCGTCTAACAAGTCCTCACCGACCCTCAGAGCATCCCAGCCAGACCCATCCCCCTAATCTATGCATCCCTGAACACGACAGGGCAATTTACCATGGCCAATCCACCTACCCTGCACATCTTTGGACTGTGGGAGGAAACCCACGCAGACACGGGGAGAACGTGCAAACTCCACACAGATAGTTGCCCAAGGGTGGAATCGAACCTGGGTCCCTGACGCTGTAACACTGAAGTGCTAACCACTGGGCCACTGTGCCGCCCCACTTGTTTCACTACACACTGACAATGAGGGACACTAATTTGACTGGGACAACACAAGCCAAACAGAGACACACCAGGGAATTCCTGGAGGCCTGGTATTCGAACTGGAACTCCATCATTTCACACATTGAATTAGACCCTGTGTACACACCAGTGAAAAACAAAACTGGAAGCAATACCAATCACCCCAGCAAACACAGGCATATAAACAAGCGGGACAGAACACTGCTTCACCGGAGGCGCACTGATGGATGTTACCTAGCAGGGTGACAAAACATTTGCAACCAAACCCAGTGGCTCGGCGAGCATGTCTACAACCTCAACTACTCTGTCATTTAGCATCAACCCTTTGCTCACTACCTGAGAAACATCCTGTCAAACCACTACCTTAAATCACTCTTCTCTGTCCCCTCCACATTGTTGTTGCAATCCCTACTATGTATTGGATGTACTGTAGCAATTTTCTAATCACATTCAACAGTGTCCACAAGCTCCATCACTTCTAGAAAGGAGGAGGAGAGCAGCATCGTCATATGAGCAGCACCATTTCAAGTTCCTATTTTGCCTTGCTACTTTGGAAAAATATTAGCATTCCTTCACCAATACTGGGTCAATATCTTGAAATTGCCTGCCAATGATCACGACTGCATCACCGCTACAGGGACTGCAGCAGTACAAGGCACAAAAGAAGGACAATGAAAGTTGCCAGTGCCATACATGTTGAGCAGAAACAGAACAAAACAGCCTCTGCAAGTTCATAGTTGTACCCTTTAAATACAGATTTTATACCCGAATCTGTTCCATGGATGCTGGGTTTTCTAGGATAACATGCTGTGCAAGTCATTTTTAAAAATATAAAATGGCCACATGGTTTAGTGTTAGGCTGAGATACATCACTGCCAAGCATAATATAATTCTTTCACAATTCATCCATGTATTGGGCCGGATGACTGCTTGTGTTATCCTATTCCTAGCCCTAGCATTGACGTCCATCATAGTTTTTCTTTTAATTTCATCTACGATTAGCCAATGCAGCCCACACTGGCGAATGAATAAAAGGTAAGCTTGCATTACTCAACTGCACAATGGGTGTCCATTTACCAATCTAGCCACTGGGAACATAGGACACTATCATATATATCTCAAGAGTTTTCAACAATGAATGGTCTCACAAAAATTAATCGACACACAAATATTGTGATTTTGGCAGTTTCATTGGCCCAGGTTTTTGACACAATATATACTGTATTATCCACATCATTTAAAGTCACTTTTTCCAGTGTTTAATATACTCACCTTGTCCCTAATGTGTATGTTTGTTAGATACTCCGATGGAACATGAAAATCTGTGGAAGAAGATGAGTGTTGGTCAGTTATTTTAAGACATATAAGTTTGTGAAGGAATAAACAGAACAAAGATCCATTATATTTATAGTAATTATAAAATCACCATTCTCACCAATATCTTGAGGTCGGCAGGGTGCTGATGCCCAAGGAGATGCAAATTTGGGGTAGAGATTTCTGTAAAATACTGATAATTAATCATACAGATTCTTGATCTAACAAAATAGCCAACTGCTGAGTCACTGAACATGACCTGATTAGCCCTTGTTACTGAAAGTAATTTTTTTTTTTTACTACTGTTAAATTATAACTGAAGAATTTCATAAACAAGAATGAGAAGCTAGTCAAGTTGTATACTTTAACATTTTTGAACAAAAAGGAGCATTACTCTCAGCTGCTAAACTGCAAAGAAAGAACCCAATGCTGAAGCAATTCCCTACAGTATCCAGAGTCAGGTCTGTATTGATACTTTGTACAATTTCCCACAGCAGCACATTCATGTATGACACAAGAAAGCATCCAGGTCAATGCTTTTAGGACACGAAACCATTTGTCATAACATTACAGAATACATTACAGTGAAAAATAAATTATGGTTAAACAAGATGAAATCCTTTAGACTATCAACTTCGCAAAACAGCAAAAATAAATAAAATACACAGAACACAAACCTCCAATCAAAAAGAATTCAAAGCTTCGAATGCAATTAATAGCACAATCTATATCTCAAACACCTAATCAACTATGTTCCTAAAGTTTATGTATTTTTCGAAAAAAGTATCCAAGATGATACAAGGTCATGGTTCAGTGCAATTGTTCAGAAGGTATATTCAATGGCAAGTATGATATTTGAGCAATTTAAAAGTGGTATATAAAGCTTTTAGATTTGAACCTGATAATATTCCAGGTTGCTGGCAATTACCTCTATCAATTTAGTCATTTTGTTAGAATTTTTAAAAATCCATTGGACACCTATGTACAACGTAACTTGTGGCAGACAAGAACTAGGACACGGCTTTTTGCTGCAGATCAATAATAGTGTTTGAGAAAGGGCAAATCCCAGGATGTTTTTCAAATGACAAGAAAGGTACAGCAATATAGTTTAAAGTCTAGAATTGTGTTTACCCTGGAGGAGAACGTACAGACACTGGTGTTTCATGTAAGCCCTTAGAGTTCTGCGTGGTTAAAAGGAGGTTTGGCAAGTTGCTACACTGCATCTTACAGACGTACTCACTGCTGCCAGTCTGAGCTGACTGTGAGGGGAATAAATGTGATGGATGGGCTGCCGATCAAGGCGGTTGCTATTCCATCACTCTCCTTCTTATGCCTTGCAGACGGTGGACAGACTGGAGAGTCAGAACGTGAATCATTCACTATCAGCCTCTGACTTGCTGCTGTAAAGACATGAGTTATATTGCTAGCCCAGTTAAATTCTGGTCAATGGTAACCACCACAATGTTAATGGTGGGGATTCAGCAATAGTAATGCCTTTAACCACCTCTTTACATTCAGGCTCTCTCTTGTTAGAGATGGTCATTGACTGTATGGTGGGAATGTTTCCTGCCACGTGACACCCCAAGCCTAAATGTTATTCAGGTCTGACTGCACATGGGATTGGGCTGTTTCAGTATTTGAGCAATTGCATATGCTACTGTACACTACAAACATCTTCAATTCTGATCTTATTATGCAGATAAGGTCCTTCAGGACTCAGACAGTTCTGTCAGTGGTGTTGTTACTTGAGTTACTGCTGGTGATGGACACTGAAGTCCCCCACCAAGAATACATTCCGTGCCTCTGGAACCACTAGTGCTTCCAAGTGGTGTTCAACACTGGGGAGTCCTGATTCATCAGCTGAAGAAGAGACGGTAACTAGAAAGGGGTTATGTTGCTCACGTTTAACCTAATGCATTGATGCTTCATGTGATAAAGACAATGTTGAGGACTCCCAAGGCCAGCCTCCTCCTAACTGTATATATGTTTCCATTTCTGCTTGATCTGCCTTGTCACCAGAGACAAGACCAACCCAGCGATCGGGTAGAGAAGTCTGAAAAATTAGCTATAAAGTATGATTCATGAGTATGACTAAATCAGGATGCCCTGATTAACCTGTGGGACCATGTGTCCCAATTTTGAACAGAAGTCCACAGACATTAGTACGGAGGAGTCTGCAAAGTCAACTGGACAGGATATGTCTATGTCATTTCTGGTACTTAGTGTTGAACTGACCATCCAGCATTCACCTATAAATTTTCAGTATCAATTTGATACAACTGAGTGGCTTGATAAGTGATTTTCTTGAAGCCAAGAGACACTGTAGATCTGCAGTTCCATACAGACCAGGGAGGGAAGGCAGATTTCCTTCCCTAAAAGGGCATTAGTGAACCAGATAGTTTTGCTAAATATCCTATAGTTTCATGGTCATTATTATTGACACTAGCTCTTTATTCCAGATACAGTAGTTTTGGATTCTTCTGTTCTACAATTTTTTTTAATTAGCATCAATTTATTGGTTTGCGTACAATTTAAATTATTATAAATGTCATTCAACGGAAAAGCTGCAAGCTCACCTGGCAGTTCATTTTTTTTTATTAAAAATGTAAACAAAAATGATTTGTGGAAAAATTACATACAGCCCTTTTTCCAGATTATGTAATGATCTTAGCATAAGAATGGCAGAAAGTGGGAATACTGCTTACTCTGGAGAGTTTAGGTTGAGACCTAGTGTTGTTAAATCACTGCCTAGTGCGAGATGTACCATGCCGGGATCAGTCTCTGCCGCTCGAATGAACGTTAAAAGTCCAATCATTCCAAACTGATCTGTTACCATTCCCGTAGGAATATTAGTGACTCGGCCTAAATAATAAGAAAAAAAACCATAAGAAAGGATCCTCCAATTGTACAGATCTTCCAATATTTGGAAATATTTGAATATGTCGAATATAATTTTGATGTAGTACAGAACCACCCACCGTCAGATAATACTTGGATCCCTTTTTTCTGCAGATTGTTGTTTTGCGTCGTTGAGCTCTTATCGCCAGGAAATTTGGGCCCGTCTGTACTAGATACATTTTTTCCCGGTGTATTCAGGTTCTGTAATTGAAATTTTTAAAAACCATTAATAAACTGCAAGAAGGAAAATCTGCAATTTTGAAATATTCATGTACAAGTTGTTGTATCCCATAGTGCTGTTAGATAAGAAGCTCGAAGATTCTGATCCATTGGTTGTGAAGGAACAGCATCAGATGCCAAAATCAGGATGCTGTGAGGCTTGACGTGATTGTGTTCAAGTATGCATAGTGCCTTTGTCCTTTAACATGGTTTAAAAACACACGTTTCAGAAGTGTATTGAAGAAACTTGGAGAGTTGCCGCAGTATGTCTTGCATATTACGACAGTAAAGCTACAATGTGGCAGGGCATAAGGAGTGGATGTTGAACATGGTGGATGGGTTGCAGAATACCAATTTCTGGCTTGTTCTAGCAGTTCCAGCATTTATGCTATGGTGATTGCGAGATGCTAATGGTGGGAAATTCAGTGATGGTGGGTGGTACTATGAAACATCAAAGGACAGTCGAAAGACCTTTCTCAGTAACATTTGGTAAGTGACATACCACACAACAGCTCTAGTCTGAATGTTGCCCATGTCTAGCTGCACGTAAGCTTTAACTATTGCGTTATAACTGCTTGTGAATTGTACAAACTGGGTAACAAAGCACCCATGAGTATCTCCTAATGCAACAAAAAGGCACTTAAGCACAATTATTATTGTTTAGCATGATGGAGGCCACGGCTACGTACGTGTTAACTGCCTTGAAATA